GAGCCGGCCGCGTCCCGGAGCCGCCGGCCGCCGGGATCCTCGCAGCTTCGTCTTCACTCGAGGGGCCTTGGGAGCTGCGCTGCCCGGTGGAATGTCCACCCGCCACCCCGGCCAAGTGCGGGCGTGCTGCACCGTTCGCGTCGGGACCAGCCGGGACCCACACGCCTCACCCACCCACGCCGTTTACCTTCTAGCACACGGAGCCAGAGTCTGATTTTCCTTCGCATATTTTGCGTGTGTGTGCGCGCGGATTCTGGGCCTTGTCCCTGAGCTTTTTTGTTCAAGGCTTGGTGCTCTTAGCATTTGAGCCACAGATCCGTTTCCGGTTTTTGAGTAGGTTAATTGGAGATAAGAGTCTCTTGGGAACTTTTCTGCCTGGGCTGGCTTCGAACGGTGAGATCCTCAGATCTTGGCCTCCTGAGTAGCTAGGATGACAGGTGTGAGCTCCTGCGCCTGGCCATGGGGCTGGTTTAACTTCGGATAATTATGTCTGCAGATGGCAGAAAGTGGGCTGACCTAGCTGTAGAGGTACAATTCACCAAGAGGGGAAGATTTGGGGACAATGTCCTGGAGAAATCTGGAAGTACCAGTCGCCCTCAAGGAAGAGTACTCAACTTTGGTGGGAACAGAGAAGGATGACCTTGTGCCACAGCTGCAGCCCTGTCTCTCCCCCACCCTCTTTTTTTTCTGATTAGTTAAGAGTTGGAATCTGAAAGGATTTTCTGCCCAGGCTGGTTTTGATCATTGATCTTTTGGATCTCAGCTTCTTGAATAGCTAGGCTTGCAGGCAGGAGAGACCAGCATTCAGCCTAAAAGGAAGGGCTCCTTGATGTGTATCTGAAACACAGTATACCTCCAGTGGATGGCACCATTAGGTCTCCCCCGCAAGTGAAAAACTGCTCTCAATGCTTTTTTCTGGTTCCCCGAGTAGCCCAGCACTGCCCTGGCTTGCCCTTGAGTCCTCTAAGCAGAGATTATCTCTTTAGCCAGCTTTTCTGGCTTACCTACACATTCAGGCCACCCAGTGCTTTAATGCGCTTCCTTCCTCAATTCCCTGGATGCTGGCTTTTCCACTTCTTTTCTCAGCACACCCTTAAGGGAGGTGTTCCAGGGATCTGGACTCAACTTCTCTTGAGAAGCCCTGCAGACCCATGCTCCAACCCCCAACCTGCTGTTTCTTCTCTTTGTCTCTGAGACATCCATACTAAACCCTGACAGCTTCTCCAGCTCTCTTCCTGCCTCTCTGTTGAGCCCTGAGATCCTTCTAGTGGCAGAGGGATCCTTGTTAATTGGCGGATAACACAGTTTGAACCTGCTTGTTCTGCTGGTACTCCATTTGAACCACCAGCCAGAAAGATCCTTAGGAAACACCAACAGTCATTCTTCTTAAAACCTATCGGTGGTGTAGCAGGGTATGGAGGCCCACACCTATAATCCTAGCTATTCAGGAGGCTAAGATCCAAGAATCAAGGTTCAAAATCCAGGCAGGAAAGTCTTGAGACTTTGATTTCCAATTTACCACCAAAAATCTGGTAATGGAGCTGTGGCTTATGTGGTAAAGCAACAGCCTTAAGTGAAAAAGCTAAGGTCAAGTGCCCAGGTCTTGAGTTCAAACCCCAGTACCAGTACAAAAAACAAACACAAAAAACCTGTCAAGCCAGGCGCCTGTGGCTCACGCCTGTAATCCTCGCTACTCAGGAGGCTGATATCTGAGGACTGCAGTTCAAACCCAGTCTGGACAGAAAAGTACCCATGAAACTTTTTTTTTGGTCAGTCGTGGGGCCTGAACTTGGCCTGGGCACTGTCCCTCAGCTACTCAGCTGTAGACTAGCGCTCTACCACTTGAGCCTCAGCTCCACTTCTGGCTTTTTCTGCTTATGTGGTGCTGAGGAATCGAACCATGGCCTTATGTATGCAAGGCAAGCACTCTTACCACTGAGCCACCTTCCCAGCCCCCCCATGAAACTCTTATCTCCAATTAACTGCTCAAAACCCAGAAGTGGATCTGTGGCTCCAAGTGGTAGAGTGCTAGCCTTGAGCAAAAGAGCTCAAGGACAGCACCCAGGCCTTGAGTTCAAGCCCCAGAACTGGCAACAAAACAAAACAAAAAAGTCAGTGGTAAGTAACTCATGACTTGTTTTCAGAATGCAGCTCCAGGGCTAGAGGCATGGCTCAAGTGGTAAAGCACCAGTTCTGAGGAAAGTTGAGCCAAGATGCCCTGAGTTCAAGCCCCTGGTATCTACCTGCACGCAGGAAAAATTTCATCAATCATTCCACACTGCATGCTGATGACCCCTGTCTGCTTCTCGTACATCTCAGCTCCCGCCAAGCCAGGTTTCCAGGGGCCCAGCTGGGCGGTGCAGCATGGAAGCAACTTTTCTGTGTCCTGAGGGTAGAGCTGCCCCCTCTGGGCTTACGGCACCACCTGCTCTTCTTAGAGCTGTGTGTGGTGCTCCATCCTCCTTGGAGATGATCTGGCATGGCTCTCAAGGACCAGCATCCAGGTGGTACACTGAAAATAACAGTGGGCAAAGCCAGCCTGGTGGGTCCCAGCCTGGGTCTGTCGTGGGACTGGCCTCCAGGCAAGTATCCCGGAAGGTCTGCGCTGCTGCCTTTTCATCTTCAAAAATGGGGATGATCTCTTAGATGAATCAATCCAACAAATCAGTTTCAAAGAGGTCACTAAATGTAACCTGTATAAAACATTAAAAGGAACTTAGGAAGGATCAGAGCAGCACTATTCACCACAGTCAAAAAGGTGAGAGCCATGAGGATGTGATGGAGGAGAATATAAATGTGGTCTGTTTGTACAATGTTAATATGGTTTGGTTATAAAAAGGAATGAATCAGTTGGGCGTGGTGGTGCATACCTGTAATCAGCACAGAAGAAGCCAAGGCAGGAGGATCAGGAGTTCCAAGACAGGCCGGGCACCAGGGGCTTAGGCCTGTCATCCTAGCTACTCAGGAGGCTGAGCTCTGAGGATCGCGGTTCAAAGCCAGCCCGGGCAGGAAAGTTGTGAGACTCAGATCTCCAATAAACCACCAGAAAACCGGAAGTGGCGCTGTGGCTCAAGCGGTAGAGCGCTCGCCTTGAGCTGAAGAGCTGAGGGACAGCGCCCAGGCCCAGAGTTCAAGCCCCACGACTGACAAAAAAAAAAAGCTCCAGGACGGACTGGCCTGGGCTACACAGTGAGAGACCCTGTCTTTAAAAAACAACCCCCAAAATACTATAGCCTGGATACCTTGTAAGTATGCTGAGTCAAAGAAGTTGGACACAAGCGTCTGCATGTGCTATCTGACACGCTTCAGAGCAGACAAGTCCCAGGAAGTAGATGGGTCGTGGCCACGGCTCAGGGAGGGTACGGACCGAGGAGACGGATGCTGGGTCGGTATGCGCGCAGCCCCGGTCAGTGTCCTAAAGGTCACCGAGGAGGGCTGTCGTGTCGATCTGACACGAGGTAAAGCTTGGCGGAGCTGAACGCGCGCCGGCGCGCACGGGGGACACGCGGGGCGGAAGCGAACCCCCGCGGGGCAGGGGCAGGCCGGTGGCGACCGCCTCGAGCTCGGCTGCTGGCCGGCGGCTCCGCTTCGGCCCGGCCCGGGCCCGCGGAAGCCGGCTCAGCAAACAGACCGAACCCGAGGGCCCCGCTCCTTCCCGGCCCCGGCGCCTCCGGGCGCCGGGACTCGCGGAGATGACGGCCAGGCCCGCTTCTCCACCGTGAGCCCCACCCTCCTGGACGCCCCGCCCCCGGTGGGCCCCGCCCACCACATCCCGGGCGCCCCGCCCACCAACCTCAGACCTCACCCCACCTCCTGTACGTCCCGCCCCAGCTCCCGCAGGCCCCGCCCTCCGCCTGTCAATCAAAGCCGTCCCGGCGGCCCGTTGTTATGACGACACGGTCGTAAATCCGCCATCTTCCTGCGGCGCGTTGCGACATGGAGGGCGCGATGGCAGTGCGGGTAACGGCCGCGCATACGGCAGGAGCCCGGGCCGAGGCCGGGCGGGAGGCGGGCGAGGGCGGGG